ATTATGTTTTCATATTTTTAGAGGTCGAAAATTTTCAGACTGAACAGATTTCTTTTGGAAAATGCTGCTCTTATGAAATCAAAACTAGGGCTGTCAAGCAATTTTAAAAAAAATAATCGTGATTAATTGCACAATCAAAAAAATTAATTGTGATTATTCATACAATTAATCACACTGCTAAACAATAATAGAATACCATTTATTTAAATATTTTTGGATGTTTTCTACATTTTCAAATATATTGATTTCAATTATAACACAGAATACCCAGTGTAAAGTGCTCACTGTATATTTATTTTTTATTACAAATATTTGCACTGTAAAAAACAAAACAAAATTATTTTTCAATTCACCTCATACAAGTACTGTAGTGTGATCTTTTTATCATGAAAGTTGAACTTACAAATGTAGAATTATGTACAAAAAAAAACCTGCATTCAAAAATAAAACAATGTAAAACTTTAGATCCTACAAGTCCACTCAGTCCTACTTCTTGGTCAGCCAATCACTCAGACAAACAAAGTTGGTTACAATTTGCAGGAGATAATGCTGCCTGCTTCTTGTTTATAATGTCACCTGAAAGTGAGAACAGGCGTTCACATGGCACTGTTGTAGCTGGCGTTGCAAGATATTTACGTGCCAGATGCGATTAAGATTCATACGTCCCTTCATGCTTCAACCACCATTCCAGAGGACATGCTTCCATGCTGGTGATGGGTTCTGCTTGATAACGATCCAAAGCAGTGCAGACTGATGCATGTTCATTTTCATCATCTGAGTCAGATGGCACCAGCAGAAGGTTGATTTTCTTTTTTGGTGGTTTGGGTTCTGTAGTTTCCGAATCAGAGTGTTGCTCTTTCAAGACTTCTAAAAGCATGCTCCACACCTCGTCCCTCTCAGATTTTGGATGGCACCTCAGATTCTTAAACCTTGCGTCAAGTGCTGTAGCTATTTTTAGAAATCTCACATTAGTACCTTCTTTGCATTTTGTCAGATCTTCAGTGAAAGTGTTCTTAAAACAAACAATGTGCTGGGTCACCATCCGAGACTGCTATAATATGAACTGTATGGCAGAATGTGGGTAAAACACAGAGCAGGAGACATACAATTCTCCCCCAAGGAGTTCAGTCACAAATTAAATTAACACATTATTTTTTTAACGAGCATCATCAGCATGGAAGCATGTCTTCTGGAATGGTGGCCGAGGCATGAAGGGTCATACGAATGTTTAGCATATCTGGCACGTAATTACCTTGCAACGCCGACTAAAAAAGTGCCATGCGAACGCCTGATCTCACTTTCAGGTGACATTGTAAATAAGAAGCAGGCAGCAGTATCTCCCATAAATGTCAACAAACTTGTTTGTCTTAACGATTGGTTGAACAAGAAGTAGGACTGAGTGGACTTGTAGGCTCTAAAGTTTACATTGTTTTGTTTTTGAGTGCAGTTATGTAACACAAAATATCTACATTTGTAAGTTATACTTTCATGATAAAGAGATTGCACTACAGTACTTGTATGAAATAAATTGAAAAATACTATTTATTTTGTTATTTTTACAGGCAAATATTTGTAATAAAAATAATAATATAAAGTGAGTACTGTACACTTTGTATTCCATGCTGTAGTAGAAATCAGTATATTTGAAAATGTAGAAAAACATCCAAAATATTTAATACATTTCAATTGGTATTCTATTGTTTAATAGTGCGATTAATCATGATTCATTTTTTTAACCGTGATTAATTTTTTTGAGTTAATCGCTTGAGTTAACTGCGATTAATCGACAGCCCTAATCAAAACATTTTGTAGGATTTTACTGATTTAGTTAAATTTTAGATGAAAATTTATCAGAGCTCTTTGTTTACATATGGCTACTATATTACAATAGTTGAAACAAAGCACTTCCACCTGCTCAAAACAAAATGTTTTTTTGTGGGAAATTTCAACTTTCTGTTCCATCTTAATGGGCATAAAGTTGTTATTTCAATCAATGTAGCTGTTTTCAGATATGTTCCCTATCAAATTCCAGTGCAACATAGATTATAAATCATCTATATAAATCATTATGTTTTGAAACACCATTAAACAGAAAAAATTGTGTAGAAATTCTTAGTGGATTGATTGGGTGGTTCAGGTGGCTAATCATAGACTATAGAAACTTTCAGCTTTAGGTCACTGTTTCAAATCACTAGGAATGGTGTGAATGAAATTTGTTTCCATGTGATGGTGGTCTGGTGACTTACATAAAATGTGTTTGATGGTTTCTACTTCAGTTTCCAGTGGGCAAGCATTCGCATGAATAAAAAACAACATAAGTTGCACACTAATTGGCAGGGAGACCTAGGACTGAAGCCCATCGTGACTGAGCTGCCTTCATCCCTATAATAATAATACCTAGCACTTACATATCATTTTTGACTGTAGAACTCAAAGTGCTTTACAAAGGAGGTTAGTGTCATTATTCCTATTTTACGAATGAGGGAAAGTGAAGCAGAGAGAATGCAGGTGATTTAACTAAGATCATCCAACAGGCCAACATCAGAACTAGGAATAGAACCTGAGTCTCTTAATCACCCTATCTACTGGACCACACTGCTTCTCGAGGTGGTGCCTTTCAATGAACGTTGACACATTTACAGAACTTTAGCAGTTACAGATCCTCCACATTTCCCATCCTCTACCTGTCCCGTGAATGAATAGAGGACATCAGGTTGCAGGGCTGTTTATCAGTATTTTTCATCCGCACTAAATTAATACACACATTTTTGAAAGCTAAAAAACACCTAGAGGTTTTGTCTCTGTGTGGACAGAATTTTATATACTACTTTCCTGTCTTCAGTTTTACTGTGCTGTATGGGTTTTACACAGGTGATAGTACATAACAATAGGTTTTAGCTGTTGGCTTCTTTCTTTTCATGCCTGCTGTCCCAAAAATCTATTTTACACGCAGAGCTCGTGGAGCTACTGCCTATTATATATCTTCAAATGCAGAATGGAGTAGTTCAGAAGCGGGGAAGAAGTACTGAATGCAGTTTCTTTCAAAGCCAGTTCCTCCTGTTTAGCTGAGTGTAGTTCTCTGAAAGTTTACATGATAACAATCACATCTTGATCTGTGTAAACTGTGAATTTTATTTGACATTTAAATTTATAGTACAAACTAGAATTTTTTAACCTACTGTAAGCAGTCATAATCTTGCTAAGTAGTTTTGTTACATATTTTGAGATATTTAAGATGGGAACTCCATGTCAGAGATTGTGACCTAATTAATAGTCTTATTTAATTTCAGATGGCATTAATACACATTCAAAATAACATATAGTCCAGATCTTTAGTATTTCCATTATATTCTGTTCCACTCAGTCAGGATGTGGTTAGTTGGGATGATTCCAGCTGATCTATTACGTCCTCTCCCAAATATTATTTGCTGGGGAAAACCACTGCATGATAGGATGATAGGACCATTCCAGATCCATGACACTATCTGTTTAATATCCAGATTTGAATGACAGTCTGTGTCTCAGTCAATATAGATAGTAAGGTCCACAGAGATTTATACAGAGCTTAGAAGCTCCGTACCTCCCTTAATCCTCACAGAGTTCACTAACTCACCTTAATCAAGAAGGCTGCTTAAATGAAGCTTGAGAGTCCTGTATCTATTAAGCGACTTCTACTGTATAAAGATTTTTTTTCTTATCAAAACCAGCATTAAAGTAGCCTAATGCATGGGGCTGTTGGTGTCATTTAACAAGATGCCTAAAACAAGTCAGTAAACTCAGGAATATTTAATGCATTTTAAAATGTTTGTTTTGTAGTTCTCTGTTCATGTGCAATGAGTGTGTTTTGTGCGATGTAAACAAAATGAAAAGCTTTCTTTTGAAATATGGTTATTAAATGTAGAAAGTGCTATAAAAAGGATACCAAGGAGTTCATATTTTATTTCCCTGATATTTAAATCATATGTAGTCAGTTTACAACTGCAGTGATGATTTTTTTCCTCCACAGCTGTCAGCACTGAAAACCTAGGTCCAACAATTAACCCGGGGTCGGCAACGTTCGGCTCGCGGCTCGCCAGGGTAAGCACCCTGGCGGGCTGGGCCAGGCCAGTTTATTTACCTGCTGACGCGGCAGGTTCGGCCGATCGCGGCCCCCACTCGCCACGGTTCGCCATCCCGGGCCAATGGGGGCAGCGGGAAGCGGCGTGGGCCGAGGGATGTGCTGGCCGTGGCTTCCTGCCGCCCCCATTGGCCCGGGATGGCGAACCGTGTCGAGTGGGGGCCGCGATCGGCCGAACCTGCCGCGTCAGCAGGTAATAAACTTGCTCGGCCCGGTAGGGTGCTTACCCTGGCGAGCCGCGTGTCGAACGTTGCCGACCCCTGAATTAACCTGTGTTCTGTCTCTTATGTCATCTTCAGTAATAGGGATTCTGCAAATGGTACTTACCTAACAGTTTTGTGATAATTCTTGAGGCAGTATTGTTTCCGGTTTCCTCTCCCAATATTCACTGCATTGCAAATTTGGCTTTCTGTATGTCTACCTTAGGGTTTTATACTGCCACCCATCACCATAGTACCTGAGTGCCTTCCTTATAAAATCAATAGCAAATCAACAGGTTTTCCTTAGATATGACTCACAAAAATACATAAAACAGATATGCTGGGCATTAATTTTTAATCACTTAATATCCCAGATGTGCTGCTTTGAAGAAGGTGCTATTTTAGATGGTTGCTTTTCTAACTATATCAGTGCTTCAAGGTGTCCCCTTGTGGGATAAGCAGTGAGAAACCAAGCAATAATTTGTTACATGTTTTTGTACCTGCACAGGAAGATGCAGTGCCTTCAAGAATTAACTTTATCATCCAGTACATCTGATAGTTGTGTTTTGCATATGACTTCTGTTAATTGAAAATTGACTTATTGCATTTTTCCTCTGCAGTACTTAGGATTTTGGGGATATGAAGTGGAAATAAACAGTATTTTTCACTTATTTTTATTTCAGGGGATATAATTTTCAATGCCCACTACCCAGAGCTACCACCAGATTTTATCTTTGGAGAGGATGCCGAATTCCTGCCAGATCCCTCTGCCTTACATGTGAGTACAGCTTCAGTGTTTTTGTGATCATTATGTGCTGGAGAGAGACTTGGCTTTTGAGAATGGCTCAACAATAGGAATTTGCTAACAATGCAGATTTAAAAAAAAATCTTTTATTTCACTGTCATGTGGGTATGTAGACACTCTCTCCACTTTAAAACCATAATTATGGAGTCAACTAAATCATTTAATTTAAAAATGTTTTAATCAAGATAAGACATCACATTCCACATATATAATAATTTAAAATGTTCTACAGTACATACCTGTTTAAAAAAAAAAATCAGTTGCTTCTATTTAGCACCTGATAATTTTCTTTCTATTTAGCACCTGATTTGCTTCTTTCAGCAAAGGGGTAAACCTTTGCCTTGCCTTTAAAAC